ACCTAGTTACTTACTCATCTCAAACCATTATTCTCTTTTCTTTACCTGCCACTTCTAATCCATCACCAAGTCTGGTTGGTTCTCCAGATTACATCCTGAAGCTGTCCTCCTTTGTCCGTCCACTGCTGCCACCTGGTCACCTCGGGCCTGGGCTGTGGCATCAGCGGTCCTCTTCCACTTCCGATCCATTTATTTTTCACATGGCAGCAAGTTCCTGTCTTCTAACTCACCACTCTATTTCCTTCACAGCAGGCATTACAGTCTGTCATGATCTTGCTTATGTCTTTCTTTACTTACTGTCTCCTTCTCCCTCCAGAATCCAGGCTTCAAGAGAGCAGCTGCCTTTCTGTATTGTTTTGTATTCACTAGTGCACCCCCGGGTGCCTGGCATGCAGTGGGTACCATATGGGTGAGGGAAAGGACAGGAGTGGGTGGTGTTGGTAACACCCTTGGAGACAGCATATCAAAAACATCAAAAGGGCTTGTTTCAAATTCACCACAAATGCATACCCAGCTCCCTGGCCCATTTTGATATGGGTCCTGCCTCATTAACCCCCTTCCCCAAGCACGGCCCCTCCCCCATGCTGGGCATCACAAGGAGGGAGGGCCGCCTTCACTTCCGGAAGAGGGCTTTCTCCCTCAGAAGCCATGAGGAGGAAGGAAATGGAACCGCTGTCCTAGAAGCGTGTGCCACCTTGTAATCCAGTGTACACCAACACACGTGTGTACTCACCTACACAATTCTCAGCATGTCGCTTTAGTACAGGTACTTCCCAGTCTATTCTGTTTGGTTCTATTCTGTTCCACGAAGGCAGTGCTGGTTGTGACCCATTACTTTGATTTCATGCCCCGTTAATGTATCATGGCCGAGTTCGTAAATAATGTTTAAAAAATGATATGTATCCTCAGGAACGCATGACCCAGTGTGTGGCAGACTGACCAAGGCTGCCGTGCAGGTCTGGAGAGCTGTGCGAGCTGCCAGGGCCCCCCCTGGGCCCAGCCCTCTCAGAGAAAAACACGTTATCTTTAGATGTAAGATTTAATTTAAATGTTACTCTTACCTCTTTTTTCTAACCTTTCTCACGGAACAGTTCTTTCTGCAATATAGGTTCTCCTTGTCTTTTCCCCTGTTACGAACTGATGTTTTTATTGCTAACAAGGAGTTGGGTGTTATTCCCCAGGTGATCTTTAATTAAAACAACTTGGCCTCATCTATATGTTTTCACTCATTTTTTCCTTTTACTTTTCACATTAGTTTTCTGAAGCTCTGTGTGTGTAGTGTGTGTGTGTGTGTGTGTGTGTGTGTGTAAGAAAGGTCTTCCTTCACAGATATGTTTTTGTCTTAAATACATATATGTACATATATATTAAAATATATTTTTTAAAGATGAAAATGTCTCTTTGCATGGAGATCTTTCTTCCATAAGGGAAGAAATTCCTTATTGTGAGTTCCTTAACATTTAATAGTGCATGGTCCTAACAGTTATTATGGTAAAAGAAAGAAAATCATATCCTTTAGATGAGATGCAGATAATTCTGAAAGCTTTGACCCTCAAACTTATTACACAACCCTAATCACATTACATCCCTCTCTCCCCTGTTAGGGGCATTAAATGTAATTTTTCCTGGCCGAATAAACTTGAGCATTCTCTTCTCTGCATATTTTCATTTTAAAAGTTTTCAAGTCAACCTTTTTACTATTCTGACTGTTACCTGAAACCAAGAAGAATGCTTGCAAATAAGATGCAGTGCCAATACTAACTCCTATATATAAAAT